CCCTTCGCGGAGACTGGGGGTCAGTATCGTCACATAATGTAAATGGGTAAAGACCACTGCATCCGTTCTCACTGCCCGTGAATTTGGAAGAGGGGATGACTAAGGCACCCTCCGTGGCCACGAATTTCACAATTGTCCGCGCTCCACTGGTGGAAGCAATAAGTAGATCTGGCTGTAATCAACTGTGTTGTATACATGCAGAATATGTAGAAGAAATATTGCTTACGGTGCAGACTGTATCTATATTACAGGTCGTTTATAAGACACTATTCGGATGTGGCTGCATGTCAACTTTGGGGAATCGTGAAATTGGTGGCCACGGACGGTAGGAGTTTGGAGCTGGGTGGTGGGATCTTTCGCACATCCATGATGCAATTAAAGACACCGTGGACCGCACCTCGGGCCCAGTGGATACACATCTTGACGGGTGGAATTGCAACTGACAAGTAGACAGAATCTCAATCCAAGTAACTATAGAAAAAGTCACTCATACCAGTCGCCGCTGGAACTGGATCAAATCTCAACGTCTGTCACATCCACACTGTTTCTCAGCCCTTCGGAACATCTACAATTTTCAATTCCGAAGCAGATAAGAAGAATTAAGGACTATTTCAACAAAACCAACCGAGTAAGACACCAATGGAACATCATGTCATATACTCATTATGTACGGGTATAAAGAAACTCCTATCTTCTTAGGGCCCAGACACGACCTAGCGAAACGACCAGCCTATCCATTCACACAGCTTTCACTCGCCGGCAACGCATACGAATCCAGTATATGCGGGTTCGCACGGAACTGCGGGCTAGAGACAATCTCCTTGACTGGCGACACGTCGCGCTCCCGGATAGATGACCCTCCCCGATCCGCGTCTTCGGATGATGCCTCGAAATTCCGGGCCATAAATCCCATCAAGCTCTGCAGCCCAGCCACCTGATCCTCCTCGGGCGCGTCATGCAAGGCGCGCAGCCCCTCCGCAAACACGGACGGCATGTAGTACAGCACCACCGCGGGCCGACCGTTGTCGGCGTCATCGTCGCAGCCGTCGACGTTGAGTCCGCGCACGAGAGCGTCGCGGGTTGCATGGGACAGACCATGAAACGCCTGCTGAAACCGCTCCGCGGTCCGCCGATCCGCGACGCGGCCCATGGCAAAGAGGCGAAGCAGCGCCCGGTCGGAGGGGGAGGTCGCGACCGACAGATCCCGGAAGCCCTGATCCGCCAGAATTCGGCCGCGGTTGTGCAGAACCTCATCGTATGCATCCCGCAGGGAAGTGCGGCCCGCGATCACCCGCTCGAGAATGGGGAAGGCCTGCAGAAAGGACTGACATACCGGCTCCGTCATGCTGGTGGCACCGCCCGCGTCCAGGTGCGCAGCAGCACCGGCCACGTCAAACATGATCTCAATGTATTTGAGAAGAAAGGCTGAGGGGTGGCCTTGGAACCGAAGAATCCGCTGCAGGCTTCCGGGCACGTTTTCCCCTTGCATCAGCTGGGGGATATTCAGCGTGGCTCCGACGTGAATTCCCAGGATCACATCCTCGCGGCGGGCTGGGGACAGGAGCTCCAGTGGTCCGTCGAGTAGACCCAGGCCTACGGCGTCGGCGAGAAGCTCGTCGTGGTTGCCCGTGTTCGTGTTGGTGTCCCTGGTGGCCTTGGGTAATGGTGATGGTGAGGATGATGGCATTGATGCGCGGCGGGCGGCAATATCGCCGGCCAGCTGAGGATCTTTGCCAATGTCACCCACCAATAGCGCCACGATCAAAGCCATCAACTGCTCAGCATCGGTGAGAATGGGGTCTGCACGGAAACGAAACTGCCGAAAAGTTCCGACCGAGAGACGGACTGCGGGGGACTGGTGGGCCGTGAACACATCATATTGATCGGCCATCAACCACTTGACTGAGAGAATGTTGGTGATAGTCCGGTTAATTTCACAGAAATCCTCGCCGAACAGGAGGCGTGATGGTGTTAGTAGCGCCACGTCACGCCCGTTCTTCACCATTATGGTGCCAGCCGGGACTGTCCCATCCTCCCCTTCTCCCTGGCGCCGCGGAACGCGCTTCAACCGCTCCACTTCAGGGGCAAATTCCTGGTGCAGTAGCCGCACTAGAGCCTCATCACCCAGAGAACTTAACTCGCCGTGCTGTACGATACCTGTCAAAGACGACGATTGCAGGCTTGTCATCGTGCGTAACCCCCAGCGCTTGAGATGCATCAACTTGGGGAAAATCATCTAGACGCATCGCGTAACAGAAAAAAATATGAAAATCGAAGAAAGAACATACACAAAGACGAATGAAGACTTAATAAAGAGGATTGGCTGGTAGGTACGGAGAGTAGCACAAGGCCAGCCTCATGGCGGGGAATGCGCGCCGTGAGAGATCAGCCTTGTCAAATTAGTTAACTAGCTTGAGGTGCTATGACGAATTGCAATCAACTTGGGACTAGACTGCTGACTCAGACAAATGCCTAATAGTTAACCAGTTAACTAAGATTAGTTAGTTAGGCCACCCACTAATCAGTCAGCGGGCGGGCTATCCGGACCTATCGCTCATCGGTAGCACCGAATCTCTAAGTAATAAACGCACAAACCTCGTATTCTATACTAGAATTGCACCTTAGCCCATTCCGTTGAGTATTTCACGTAGTCTAATGCATCGTATCTACCCTTCTGCCAGAGAGGTGCACACACGCGGCCGAGGGCGTTAGCCTCCGTCAGCCATATACAACCTGCCTACGCCCCCCACCCCCCCCCAAAAAAATTAAAAAGAAATGAAAATAAATATAAGGGCATAGTGGTAGGAAGTGAATGAGCCCTTTCCCTAAAACAACATCGACTGCACCGGCCGCCATCTACTCAACAATGGGAATAGCCCTGGCGCGCACTTCCTTCGACTGCTGCCCCTGGGCGACGACCGCCTTCATCAGCCGGTCCTTACAACCGACCGCGTCCCACTCGATATTTTTGACGTTTTGGAGGGCCTCGGCCAACCATTGATCCCACGCCTCCGTCAGGGGAGCCACATCCCCGCGCCGTACCCACCTCGTGTCCCCAGCATGGTGAATCGCAAGCCACAGGGCCTGCGTGAAGTTCTTGACGGGAAAATGATCCAGCGGGACCTCGCACACGTCGTAGCGTGTCAGGTCCCAGATGTCGCGCGGCTCAACGAGCAGGGCCAGCAGCCAGTACAGGACGTTGAGGACGACGTAGGCGCTGCCGACGGCGATCTGCATCTTCCAGCCGCAGTTGCTGAAGAGGATGACGGCGGCCATGAGCAGCAGGGTGCTGGAGGCCAGGAGCATGCGGTGGCGGAAGCCGGAGAAGCGGTACTGGCAGTCGTCCATGCCCGTGTACAGCTCGCGGCAGACATCCTCGTCGGCGCAGTGGACAATTACAAACGCCCCCGCCCGCGTCACGAGGGCCACATCCGCGGGCGGCACTTCGTTGCGGGCCGTGCGCAGCGACACCCGCGGCGACCATTGCGCCGACAGCGTCGCCGCACTCGTCGAGCAGCACATGGCTGTCAGAGCCACTAGGGCCACTCCGTCCCCGAGGACCCCACCGGCTATCAACAGCCCCGCGGAAATCACGACGGACAAGAAGGTCACCACATTCAGCCACGAAAGCGATCGGATCTTGATGGGACGGAGAGGGGGGGTTTCCTGGCCTTCGAGCCGAACATGACCGTGATCCTTATCATTATGAGCGACTCGAGGGTCCCGGTGTCCGATGCAATACACTTTGACCGTAAACGGTGGCAGACTGGTGACATCGTCGTGCAATAAATTTGTGAAGTAGTTGAGCTCCGTCACAAAGTTTCCGGACTGAATCCCAATCACTTTGACGTCCTTGACTGCCGGCAGTCGGTGCGCGCGGTCGGTGCGCAGGAGAGTTTCGGGTGCGGGAAGCAGCCGCGGAATCGGGCTGAACGGAGAGGCGGTGATTGCTGGGAGATGCTTGTCCGTCGCTGACCCGCCAATCACTGCCAGTAATCCGACAATATCGAAGGACCAGCCGTCGGAGTCGGAGTCGAGGTTCGTGGGAAACCAGCCCATTCTGGGGGGATAAATGTGGTGCTTTGATTGAAAACGGAGATCGGGAGGGAGGTCGGGGATATAGACGGTAGAAGTGGATGGAAGGAAAGGTGGGGGGAGGAGGAGAAGCCAGCACAATATAAGGGCAAGTTTCGATCCCACCTCGCAGGGGTCTACAAACCTCCCCTCCAACTGTACAGTGCTAACCAAGTCAAGAAAAAGATACCATGCAGCGTGGACGACTAGTAGCCGCCGTCCATCGGCTAGCAGGGATCATAGATCACAGCGCACCTCCCAGTATTGAGGCGGCCAGTCGACTGCCCTTCGCCCCTCCTCATTGTGCACATTTAATTTCAGTCCTAGCGCGCTCTTCCCAGAAGCTTTGGTTGTATTGGAGAGATGGGAGTTGACAAGGCCATGGTTCGTGACAATTGACTGAATTGCTTTTTTGCTTTTTTGCTTTTTTGGTCTTTTGGTCTTTTGCCTTTGGTTTCTTTCTTTTTCTGTTTGTTTTTGAGGTGACGAGATTGCCCAGCAAGGGAGATATGGGGGCGTCCAGGTCTCGGAGCTCAGATCTAGACAAGCATGAGTGTGGCATACTTTGGTAGAGGGTGCTAAATTCTGGCCAGGGACGAATTGATAGGTGCTTTCTAAAGCGGGTGCTATTTAGGCTAACGCGCATAGGTCAACAGCAGCACTCATACACAATTTTGATTAGACTGCACTCAGCCTGGATCTATATTTGGACATCCTTGAAACTAGCGAGATTGAACGACGGATCGGGTGGTGACAGAAGACCACAAATCACGTGGTAGATGGTTGACTACCAAAGCTATGAAAAGTTATGCGGAGACACAAGATAGAGAAATTATTTTCAACAACAGACTAAACTATGAAAATATGTGACCCCTTGAGTTACCTGTAAGATGGCTCTGGGGAACACTATTGCTTTCGAGGATGCCTCAAGGTTGTTTCTTCGGGGCCGTCCGGCCCTTGGGCTCCTTGTGGTCGCCGTAGGGAAAGGGCAACGCATCCTTCTCGACGGGCGCACTCGTGTAGTACCGGTGCAGCATCAGGCCGCCGGCGATGACGGCGCAGACGGTGTAGATGGTGCGGTTGTTGCGGCCGCCACTTTCGACTCTTTCATCAGCAGAATAGGCAGAGCTTGGTGCGGGACGTACCGAAGAACCGGGGGGGTACCGCCTGCTGCGAATGCTGCCATTTCTTCTGTAGTCTCCTCTTGCTTATGTTGGAATGGGTCAGTAGGAAGTTCGTTGCGTAGATGGGGACAGGTTTGACATGGTGTACTCGGTGTCGGAAGAAGGGGAAGGGTGGAGCTGCGTATATATGTCTGGGGCGGGGATCACGCGGTTGACAGTTGCCACTCTCCACTACGTACCACTTACCAGGACACTGGAGGGGAGTCTTTGTGTGAGGTACGAGTCTGACATCATTAGATTTTGGTTATAGGTCTGGACCAGAAATCGGGTGGTGATGTAGCCATGGGTGGGATCCGGGGCGGGTGTGGCATGTGTCCTTGTGTCACTTTGGCCTTGTCAAAAAATACAAAAGTAGCTTAACGAGTTAAGATGAGTTTGTGAGCAAATTTTACGGCTTCATCTCACCCGGATAAGCGAAATCGATAGATCTCATTCAAGCATGTCGATCACTGGGCCCGACTCGGTCAGATTGACGCTTCCTTTGAAGCCACATTCCAGCCACACCCCCTCTTTAAAATCCACGTCAGCATGTTTGCTTACTTCTGCTTCCATATTCCTCCCACGACCAAGAAAATAATCATGGGTATTAGCAGTTGGACTGGTGCATGCGTGAGTTGCCCTGAATGATTGTTATCTCTTGTTGCTGACGGGATGAGGATCAGTGCCTGGGTCTTCATCGACTCCTCGGCGCAAACCAGACATTCTCCGCAGGCACCGCAGCCTACAACGCCTCCCTTGCTTCCTATTTTGCCCAGCAGGAATCGCAACTGTACCCCAGTTGCATTGTGGCCCCGACCACTGTCGATGATGTCTCCACTGCGGTCCAATACCTGACCGCCAATGCCACCTGCGACTTTGCAATCCGATCAGGCGGCCACAACGTGGTCGAGGGGGCGGCTAATATCGCCGACGGGGTGACCATTGATTTGAGCGGCTTCGACTCGATCGAAGTCAGTGATGAGCGGTCCACCGTGACTGTTGGAGTCGGTGCCACCTGGGGTGATGTCTACAAAGCGCTCGACCCGCTCAACCTCACGGTAGCCGGCGGTCGCGTCGGGCAGGTGGGCGTGGGCGGACTGACCACCGGGGGTGGCATCTCCTACTTCTCACCCCGCTACGGCTGGACCTGCGACACAGTCGTCGACTTTGAAGTTGTGCTGGCAAATGGATCTGTCGTTCATGCCAATGAACAGGAGAACCCCGAGCTTCGCGTCGCCCTCTGTGGAGGATCGAACAATTTCGGAGTTGTAACGCACATCCAGCTGACAGCCATCGAGCAGGGCCAGATATGGGGCGGGTTGGCCTACTACTCCTTCGACACGGTTGATGAGCAGCTGCAGGCGACGGCTGATTTCAGCGGCGCTGATACCTACGACGACTTCGCGTCGTTGATCGTCAGCTTTGGCTTCTCAGGCACACAAGGCGCCGCGCTTGTCAACAGTTTGGTGTACACGAAGCCGGAGGCGAATCCGCCTGCGTTTCAGCCCTTCACTGCGATACCTTCGGCGATCAACACGTTGCGCTTGACTAATATGTCCGATATCTCCACGGAGCAGGGCTCATTCCAGCCGAATGGCGAACGGTGGGTTCTCTTTGCCTTTTCTTGGGGTCGGGACTAATTGAAGTGTGCGTCAATAGTCAGCTATGGCTCGTCACGACCTTCTACACCAGTGTCCCCATGCTCAACGCGACCTACTGCCACTGGAACGAAAGTCTGACCGCCGTTCAGGATGTGGCTAATGTAGGATGGTCGTTGTCGCTGGAGCCGTTGCCGCCCGCCATCTATGCCCGACACAGCAGTGCTAACTCGTTGGGGCTATCGGAGACAACCGGCTCCCTGATGATCGCACTGCTGAGTGCCAGCTGGGTAGACGAGGCGGATGATGCGCGAGTGGAGAAAGCCGCTCGTGACCTCATTAAAGAAATAGAGGATGACGCTCGCGAGCAGAAGGCTTACCATCCTTTTAAGTATCTGAACTATGCAGCCCAGTGGCAGGATCCGATCTTCAGCTATGGCGCTGACAGTGTCGAGCGACTGTGGCGAGCTGCTTGGTCAGTGGATCCCGACTTGGCCTTCCAGGACCAGGTCCCGGGTGGGTTCAAGCTTCCTGTTCGATGAAGTCATTCCCGTGACACGCGGCCTAGACTTGATAGTTAAGATATGGTATCGAGACGCTAGACGGTAACATAGCAGGTCACATTTATATTCATACAAGAGCATAAGTTGAGAGCCAATTTACTTCTGTTCGCTGCCTGTCGGCGGCGGTGACACCAGAGAGTTTCACGTGCTGTACAAGATGCACTTGCAATCACCGGAGAACCTTTTGCACCCCACTCGCCGAGAATGACAGTGTCAAGATTTCTCGAGGTCGGAACCGGTATTTGCCCCGAATTTCTTGGACAGGGCAATTAAACTTTCGCGATGTTGGCAACAAGCGGAAGGAATCATACGACGGTAAGACTTTTCGAGGCGATGGCTACACATCACTCAAACAAGCTTGGCTCGGGTGACAGTATATAGCGAGTGTCTTCAAACACGAGCTGCCCTACAGTCAGTGGCCATCAGCATCTCGAACTCCAAAGAAGTATAACCATGAACAACGCCTCCGAATTCAATACGCCACCACCCAAGACATCCATTTTCCTTCTCAGTTTTCCCGTACCCAAAGTCCTGCTGGTCACTATCGATCGTGAGCAGCAAAGGAACTCCGTTCCCGTCGTGGGACACTCGGAGGGCTTGCAGATTTGGCACTGGTTTGATGACGAGCCGTCTCTCCGCGTGGGGATAGTGACAGGAAAAGGCACTAAGGCCTTCTGCGCGGGCGCTGATTTGCTGGAGCAGCGAGACCCGCCTAGTCACTTCAACTTCGCAGCCCCCGTCCCCGAAGATGGGTTCTTGGGACTCAGTTTGCGTCGGGGAAAGAAGCCCGTGATCGCGGCGGTGAACGGGATGGCGCTTGGCGGGGGGTTTGAAGCGTGCCTGAATTGGTGGGTAGACGCGCCCCTCAATCCAATGAGTTGGAGAAGCAGGAACGCAATGACCACGGCTAATCAACTTCCATTATGAATGTGTAGTGATCTCGTCATCTCCTCCCCAGAGGCCGAATATGCTCTGCCGGAAGTCCGCATTGGAGCGTTCGCGGCCGGCGGGGGTTTGGCTCAGATTGTTCGGGCGTGTGGCCTGCAGATCGGGAGTGAATTAGCATTGACTGGACGACGAATGTCAGCTCAGGAGGCAAAGAGTCTGCGGTTGGTCAACATTATTGCCAAATCGCCCGAGACGGTGGTGGATGAAGCGATCACGCTGGCGACACAAATTGTCAACGTCTCGCCAGACTCAGTTGTTGTCAGTCGATTTGGGTTGAACGAAGCTATGGAGGTTGATGCTATCGAACGACTCACGCGCCGCACGACGAAGCAATACGGAAGAGCTCTCATGCGGGGCGAAAACTATCGAATTGGCGTGGAGGCGTATGCGAATAAGAAGAAACCAAAATGGGTGGACTCGAAGCTGTGATCAGTGTGGTTGAAGACGTTTGTGTTTGATTCTTGCATATCTTGAGACGAAAGATGACGAAGGCAGGAATGAACTTGACGGAGTGTAGAGCGAGTAAATGTAGCGAGGAATCAGTGATCACCTGACCAGAGAATATGGCCCGTTCGCAATGAATGTTTTAGGGCACTGGGATCGTGACTTCCTCCTTGCTAGTCTGCAGTTCCAGGGGAACACACCACATCTGCTGAGCTGATCCTTTTGTATTTCTTCCACCCAACATTTATTCTTCACGCATCTTTTGTCCCCTGTCGCGTGTGTTCTTCATCAAGATTGCAGCTCTAATGTAGCAGTATTGACGACGAACAAGCGAAACCGCCCCGCAGCCGATTACTCCCTCCCCAAAGCCAGTCCGAGATTCTTGTCGCGCGCCGACATCGTTGGCCGTCAGCAACAAACTCATGAGTCTGCATTTGAGCAACGGTGTTTCGAAGGTTACTGAATACGAAAGAGCAGGCACTTATCTTGAAGATGGCTAATTCGACTCTTAGACTGGATAATGGATGGCTACAAGCGGATACGCTTCCTTCGAAGACTTCGACAAAATACATTCCAAGTCCATATCGTAATGCGGCTGGCCCAGAGCAAGGCGTCCCGCCGTACTGGAACAAACTACGAGATCCTCGAATAGTCCGCAGTGCCAGTAGAATCTCGCACTTGGCAGACCTGCAAGGCCCAGTGCTGGCTGGCTGAATAGAAAGAACAACTCCTCGGCCCGGAAGTCGTACTTGAGGCTGTCTTCTTTTGCGTCGCGGAACTCCTCTATCCACTAAACAAAACATCGAGACGAATGAGTACAACCTCGACTTGTGTCTTTTCACTTCCGTTATGAATGAGATGTTCATTCCTGCCATGAACGGATGCAATTTAATAATGCAAGCCGAACCCGGACTCAGAAGTTAAGTAGCAAACAGTCTTCAACATGCCTCCAGGTCATCTGAGCTCATCACACTCGCGATAGCCCCCAAGGAGTGTATTAAGCCGGACACAACATCCACCGCATCAAAAGCTTGAAAAACCGGGGTCGAGAGCTGCAGATGGGAGGGATACATGGTTCTACTGACAACGGCGTCCAAGGAGCTGCACAACAGGGTCCGGAAGAAAAATCCTCTAAGAGAATGTCAACTGCGAGGGGTCCTGTTCGCTTTAGCAGGAAGTTTGGAAAACAGACTTTCTGTATCAGCAGCATCCCGGCATCAACTGATTCGAAGAGCCCAATGGCGCAGTCTCTTGAGTGGGAATTCCGATCGGTAAATTGGCTTTAAAACCGGGTGTCAATTTGTCTTTGAGGCTCGGTGGGCTGGCCGTAGGCTCTTCTTGGATCGATCGCTTAGTCGCTGGCCACACTGGCTCAACGATTGAAATCGGGGCTGGTTAATCTCCGTCTTTACTAGAGATTCCCCGGGCCATATCTGAGCCGAGGTTTCTGTTATCATTGAGGTCCTTTCCGTATCCTTACGATTTGTAGGTATTTCTATGCTGGACTTCATTGTCAAGGGTGAATTCGCTTCGCCGCGTGGAAGCGACCGTTGGCTCTTCCCCTGTTGCACCCTCTTCGCCTTGGTTACCCTTAGCTAGCTTCCCAACAAGTAATTCCAATTCCGAGCTTGGGACAATTGCGGTCGCAATTGCAAGTTGACGAGGCTTCTATTTTCGCAATTGTCGCCCTCCTACCGTTCTTCCTGTTGGTGTCGTACCACCTCTTGTGTCAGAGCGCACACCAGGGAACTCCTCGATGCCTTACTGCTGTCTATCTCGCAAGCGACACTCTTCTGACTGCCTACCAGTTTATCTGCCAGACATGTAGTATTCCAATTCCCCAGTCCGCCAATTCCCAGGTCAAGAATTGATGTACCTTGGGATAGGCAAGGCGAGCTCTCCCAGGAGAGAGCAATATGCGTCGTAGGCCACCAATTCAAGATAGACGGGCGATTGAAAGTTGATTGGAGAATAAAAACACTCATCAGGCAATCTTAACTCAGGTCATCAATCACGACATATAGATTTCATACGCTCCTAGTCGACTAATGCGGTTGTATGACCATTTAGCAAGACCTTGAACCCATTCGAACCGGGGCGTGGGAGCTTGCCCTTTTATAGAAGCCCAAATGCCCCCACCGTATCGAAAAGCCCCACAACCCACCCCACACTTATCAGAATGAAATCGGATCAAGATCCATGCAACGATCTAGGCTTTTTACGATGGAACCCGACAAAAAGGGGCCAGAAACGAGTGCCTGAAAGCCACAAGAGAGGGGCTGAAGTGGCTGGTCACGAAAGAGACCAGAAAAAAAAATAAGTCTCCGAAGCCGGGAGTCGAACCCGGCCCTGCGCTCCATGAAAGTGAGGCCCAAGCAGGTACGTGATCCTACTTGAGGGTTCTAGCGTCTCGCCGTGCTACCGCAACACTACAACAGAGACTTATTGAACAGACAGCAGCTACAGGGGGGCATAACCCAGCAGCCGTAACTGTTTTCTCGCTGCAGAGGGCCCTCGCGCCATGCGATTTGTCTCAGATGCAGATAGAACATGCTGAAGGGTGTGCGCCAGCGATGGGCTTTTTCAAAGCGAAATAATCCGATGGATGGGGGTTGTTTGGCTCGTTTTTCGTGATGGGTAGACTGGACGAGTGCTGCGAGGGTGTACAGCACCTCGAAGGCGAGAAATGGGGCGGGGAGTGACTACATCACTTGCTGTTTGCGGTGCGCTGGGTCTTTGGAACCCCTTGATGGCGCTGTGGTTACTTGTTTGGCTTTTCTGGAAAAGGCCGGGGTTCGAGCCCTTTGAAGGGCATATTGTCTTTTGTTCCGGCAGCGTAGCGCAGCGAAAGGATGGATGGTCATGATGAGGAAAGAGCGGGAGTCATGGGGATGGGGGATGGGGGATGGAAAGGGGGGGAGGGATTGCCTCATCTTTATATGCTGTTGCGGCGGGTGGGTCCGACCCGGGGTTGCCGTAGTTGCGTAGCCGAGGTGGAGGCCCGTCCCGCACATTGGTATGGCTTTGTGAAGTTCACCTGGCACTGGGCGGAGCGCACCAATTGTGCCGATGCGGTTATGCACACCGAGCAATAATATGCTACTGTGCTAATTCATTTGCCGGATCCTAGCTTGAAGAGTTTGGCGGCTTCGAACTGCCGCCCTGGAACTTTGGAGACTGACAAAGGCCTTCTGCTCGGACTAAATATGATCCCTACGAATACGTACTGTGCAATATGCATTCGAGGGACCCATGTAGAAGTGTAACCACATCACGGCCAGGCTGTTGGTGAGTTGATATCTTCTAGCACGGCATTAAAATTAAACTACATACTGAGTAAATAGTCACCGCCCCCGAAGATTCCATTTTTCAGCGTGTAAGTCCTGTAAATGCCTGGTCGCGATCCATCTGCCCCCCTTTCAAGACTATTGGTCATAAATCACCCTATCTCCACCTTCACAGAGTGAAAGGATAAGAGCTTCAGTTGATTGAAAACCATACAAAACACAAAAACCACGCCACATATTCGTCCTTGTCAACAGCTTACACCCGAAAAGTTCTCTCCATATTTCAACTGAATATAGACTGCAGATCTTCGTCTTGATGCACGGTTATCTGAGTTCGTATCAGCGAAAGTACCCATGTCTAGCTGGGTCCCCCTGGACCGCAGGACCGCCGCAGTGTGTCTGCCAGGTAATCCCATTCTCCATACTGTCAGATTCAATTTTCGACCGGATGTCAGTTTTACAGATCCCAGCCACGTCACCTTTGCTTTGTGGGAGAAGTCTTTAGCCTTTGTCTCGAGCATCCCGGGCCTTCAGCGTCTTCATTAGGCTTTGTTACACGATGATCCCCTAAGGGCAATCGCCCTCCTCCAGTGACAACATGGCAGTACATGGAGAGAGTTCCGATCCTCTTTCGGGCTTGGCCTCATCCTCCCCCTTTTACAGGAGAAGCTTCTTCTCAATCGCTGCCTCCAGCTTACCCTGCCGCCGACTTTATCGGCGTTGTGCGTGTAACGCCTCGGTTCAGCGAGGTCACATGGTTTCAAATAGAACTGGGAATATGTAAACACCATGAATTCGTGGAGAATTCCTTCCTTCCTTGATAATTCAACGAATCTCAGGCCTCAAGCTTTCCTCTTTGAGCAAGTAATTCTATCAGTATTACGTTCGTGATCGGCAGACTTTAACTGACTCCTATACAGCCGTTTAATATAGAGCTTAAAAGCATAGGATATTCAGGGAAATAGTTATAGTTATATATATTTTAGGGCTGATCAGAGATATTTCTATATAGCGAGAATCTCTGTACAGTAAAGCCGAATATGGTGCTCTTTTTTCTGTTATATGGTGAGGTGACTGAGGTTACAGTACTAACACTTCTCCCATCCTGGTCTTCTGCTGTCCTTAGTGCACCCAGTACTGATACGATTACTAGTACCGAGGCCAAGATCGATCTTAGCGCCGACTGGGGGATTGATTATGAGCGTAAGAAGACGCCGACTGTCGAGCCGAAAACTTCATTCATCTAGATGGATAGAATATATATCTCGGATGATAGGCATCTTAGAATCTCAAGGGATACATCAAATCATTCACATCTGATTGTCTTCAGCCCGTTACCATGGAACTAAGTATGGATAACAACAGTCATGCAATCGTAGAAATTATAAATTGAAGGGGGAATCAACAGCAGCATTCAAAGCAGGTCAGCGCCGCACATCTGTTGGAAATCATTAACAAGCTTTTCATGTCATCGAGTCAAAACAGAGGCTGAGACTTACACTCCGCAGCAAGTCCCACAGCACCCACAATCATCATCGCCCTCCCCACCTCGGAGTTGCATCTGCATAGCTTGGGGCTTCTAGGCATACCAAAATGGTTAGAATGGAATACAATCGGCACTTCAAAGATAGCAAGTGTCATACAGGTTGCTCTGTGACAATATTCGAAGAGTCCATATCCTCGGACTGGGAGGGTTGGTGCATGGTCAGTGTTGACGCATCCCAGACCGGCTCCTGGGTGACATTTGTGCTCTTGCGGAACCAAGTGAACATATTTGCAGAACGTGCTTTGCCAGGAATATAGACAGGAGAGTTCAGTTTCGTATGATCATAACCTATAAACGCATGACATCAATCCTTAAATATCCCGAGTCTCACGAAACAGCTGCGTGAAAATACAGAAACGCGATCCGCGGGTTCCGAGGCAACTCGGCACCGCTGACAGGCACTTTCCTACAAAACTTGGGTGGTGGCGCGCTAACGGAGCATTCCGTTAGTAGTCAATACCTCCTAGCTAACCTATTCGTCAGCCGAGTGAACCAGCTGTAAACTCTGTATTAATTCAATAGATACTAACTGATTTAAAACTTAAATGTCCCAAGTACTTCCAATTGAATATATATCATACTTAGTACATAATATGAAGGCTCTTTCTAGAGTATATTAGTTGGTAGAATATCAACTAAGACTGATTATAAACAGAGATAAATCACTCCGAGCTTTTCTCATTTGTTGGACAAGTCGCAAGTCCTTGTCCACGGAAATGCTACCTAGTCGTTCTTTCAAATGCATTCAATGTAACTTGAGAAAAAGCTGCTGCCTAGAGGACTTTCCAATTCGGGCTTTCGTGAGCTGACGAGTGGAAACAAAGCGTTTAACCGAGCTGCCCAAAATTTCTACATGTCATATTCATGTTCGCCTGATAGGCAGAGCCGCTTCTCTAGCTGCGCCTCCACTTCGACAATTTTGGCACTGGATTGGAACTGCGGCCACATGAAAAATAAAAATAAGTGACTGCTATGCTAGGTTACCTACGAAAGTTCATGCAGCCAACGCTGTAGAGAGTATTCCCGCCATAAGAGCTCTGGCCTTCGTCAAAATGATTTCATTTCCGGGCACAGCCTGAGTCTTGAGGTCGTGGCAAGATATGTTGCGCTGTTATCTCGCATTGAAACAGTTTAGTATGTTGTCCTTTTATAGAGGATGTAGGAATAAGGAAGCGGCACATTTCCAAAGCAAGGCTTGCCTTGCCGTAAATAGGCAAGGTAACATCCGAGACAACTACGACCTCCTCAATCGGTCCCACCACCAAAGCGCTTCCAATGTAAATATGCTCTGACAGTAACAAACATCCCTGCACACCTATGGTGCTTGACCTGATGATCCAAGGACATCCATCAAGGCCTCGACCGATTTCTGGTAGATTGCGACTGACTGCTCTTTCAGAGCAGTGAGCTCCAGGCGACCGGCATTCTCTGCAACAAACTTTGTGTAGTCATCACGAGCGTTCCGGTTAATATTCACTTTTCTGGCACCGGCTTCAATGGCTTCCCGAAATAGCCAGTCCGGGACCGGGTGGGTGCCATGGATGACGAGTGGAACGGAGGGACCAAGGGCGTCGGCAATGTCTTTGAGTCTATGGACGTTATTAGTGAGCATTGCACTCTCGTGAGCTGCATGAGCTGCATGGGTGTGTCTTACCGGTCAAGTTGCCAGTATTTCTCAGAGCCGCCTTCTGGGTAAGGGCCGTGAATATTGCCGAATGACGGTGCAATGTAATGGACCCCCGTTTGACGGGCAAAGTCTGCTGCATGTTGTGGATCGGTTAAGATCTCTTCAAGCTCACCGGCGTCTGGAATACCGTCTTCCCCACCGTTAATGCGACCCAATTCTGCCTCCACTGTGATGCCCCGTGCCTTGGCGAGCTCGGTGATTCTCTTGCAGTACTGCGTGTTTTCCTCAGGTTCTAGTCTGGATGCGTCCACCATGATTGAATCAATCGGCAGGGTCAAAGCCTGCTCAACATCGCTAGGATCCATGCAGTGGTCGAGGTGGACACCGATAGGAACCGAGGCACCGTGGGCGGCTTCGACTATGTACTTGACAAAATGCGGGCCTTGGAAATGCATTGTCCAAGGGAAGATCTCAATCAATGCCGGGGAGCGTTTGGCCTCAGCCGCACGGATGACGGCCATAACGCCGTCATTGTTATAGCTATTCTCAAATGTCAGCCGGGTGTGATATGCTAGGAACTCGATTACAATGCACCAATTGAAAGCACCGACAGCGTATCCCCCCTGCGTCGCGTCATTGAGAATCTTCCAAGTGAGATTGCTCTCAGGGAAGGCGGCGTTGACCTTGTTTAAAGACATATTTGTGCTTGTTCCTGCAAGTCCTAATTCATTGTGTTAATTCTCTTGATTTGGGAGACAGGCCATACAAATAAGCCATCCGAGATACTATAGATTGCCAATTCTCTGGAATGCTGAATGTGGTGGCGAATTGCGGATTAGGGTGTAGAGAACGGAATGCTCCGTCTATTTGCCCCACACCGCATCAACCGGGTGGAGACCTTCGCTCTCGCACCCTCCGCGTCTCCTTCAGACTCTCATCTCCCTACCCTCCTGCTGGATTACTGCCAGCATGACACCAAAGACGTGCAAATCAACCACAGCGAGCACTCGAAGCGCTAGAAAAGTTCGATCCGCGTGCATCCGCTGTCGAAATCGACGTATCAAGGTGCGCTGGGTTTTTGACGCCTCTTCTCCGAAACTCCCCCAAACCCCACAACACAGTCAACTAATAGACAGAAGTGTGACGGGGAAACCCCGGCCTGCAGAAATTGTCTCAAGGCAAGCGCCCCATGTATTGATGTGGATGCGAGGCTTGGCGATGCGTTACTACCTCGCAGGTAAGGGTGGATGCCCCAACTGTGCGCTTCGCCACCATCGCTGACCTTCAACGCAGCTTTTCGGCAGACTGCGTCCGTCGTATTCAGTGGTTAGAAGAGATCATAAAGAAACATTTGACCCATATCGACCTCGCAGCTGGCCCGCAACTTGACGCGTCGATTAAGGCGGCCTTCGAGGTCGCGCCCCCCAAGCCGATCAGCTCCTCGCAAACTCCTCTTGTTTTCACGAGTGAACATGACGATTGCTCGTTTGTTCCTTCTCCTGAGATAGATTACTCTTCCCAAACACCTTCTTTTCCCGGTGTCCCCAACAACGAATCGCCTCAGCCTGATTGTTGGGAGTCGCCACCGGGCGACTCACATATCGCCGATGAAGTTCGTGCGCTGGCACAGAGCCTTGGCCAAGTCTCCCTCCATGAGGACTCCCGGCAGACTTACTATCTAGGTACCTCAACTGGTGTCCTTTTCGCGCATCTTATCGGTGCCAGTACAACCGGATCTCGTGATCCCTCAGGGCCGGTAGTCATCGAAGAAGAGAATACCCAGGGGGATGTCTCCTTCGAGAGGTTGAGAACCACATTGTTACAGGTCTGAGTGATGTCCCGTGATGGTGCTCGCAGTAAACTGACTCAAGACACAGGAGTTGCCTCCCCGCGATCGGTGTCAAGACTTGCTGGACGAGTATTTCCGTATCATCCATCCCGACTTCCCAATTCTTGATCCGGCGTCGGTCTCGAGCATCTGTGAAGCGCTCTACGCATTATCTTCACTGACCAATCCTTGCAAGATTGGGAGCAAAGGGTGGCCCGTAGATCGACCCGGGTTTGCCTACAACGGCGAGATGGAAATTCGGAACGGGCAATATGAAACATCAATTTCAGTTTATGCTGCGGCCTTCCACCTATTTATGATCTTTAGCATTGCTTCTACACTCAAAATGCGTCGGAGGCAGCTGGAGGACTCTCCGCAGCGACTCTACCGAGCGGCTATGTCCTTCTCCCATCATGTCCTACCCAGACCCTCCCTCGTCGGCATACAGTCTCTCGTGCTTCTGATTGCACACAGCCTAATGGCACCATCTGGAGTCAATACCTGGACAATGGTGCATCTCTGTATGGCAAATTGTGTTGATATCGGGCTACACCGTGAAATGGCCGCCAGTCCCTATAATCGTCTCCCAATTCATATAAGGAGAATGGTGTTTTGGACGGTTTATTCATTAGACAGGTGAGCCCGCTATGCATTTCAGAACCATGTCCAGCATGTGCTAAGAGATCAGGTCAATATCCACGATTCAAGGAAGACCCCTCGGGATACGAGACGAAACATTCGACCTATCGCGTCCCGGTTTAGAATTTCCTGGCAGCACCGCAACCCCCGGCAGCCCGTTCGGGCCAAGCTTTGATCCCAAGGGCTTATGGCCGTACACAACACACCATCTCGCCCTAGACCGCTGGATCTCAGCCATCAAACTACTTCTTTATCGGTGTCCGTCGTCCTGCCAGCAGAACCTTTTCATGTGGCCTCCAGACCTCGAAAAACAACAGGCGATCCTCAAAGGCAAGCTTCAGGCCTGGTATCTCGAGATTCCCAACATCGTGAGCCAACTGATCGTTCCGGATGAACCTTTGCGGGACAAGCTCCGTCTCAAGCTCGAAGCCCGATACCATGCAGCTATGATGCTCTTGTTCCAGCCCTCACAAGCCTTGCGGAAGCCCAATGTCGAAGCATGCAAGATCTGCTACGAATCGGCCGTCAAACGGCTCATGATCTACTCTCAGCTATATGAGAACGAGCAGCTTTTCTGCGGTTGGCGGAGCATGCAGGACATATTCCATTCGGGGGTGACCTTTCTCTACTTGCTTTACGGCTTGCCGTTTATACGACAGTCGGTTTCGCTTCCCGAGGTCTCCAAAATAATGCGCCTGTGCTCAAACCTCCTGAGCACGGGCGGTGAGTGGTGGCCTTCGCTAAAAAAAGCGAAGAAAAGACTGGAAAGGGTGGCCGACATCGTGATAGATAAGCTCTATAGCGTCAATGTTGCGGCGCTGCCGTCGCAAGCCGCACCAGATATGAACGGCGGGCTCGGTACCACTCAGCTGGGCGAGCCATTACCCCACTATCCTAGCTGGGAGTTTACTGATATTGCCGGCCTCTTTCAGCCGTCGAGACGGCGAACGGCACCCATGTCAACCTTTCCGGTGGTTTCCCCTCGCAGACCTGGCACAGAAGCCGAAGGAGACGGAGGGATGCCACAATCGTCGGAGATTTTCAACGAACAAGCGCAGTCCGACGCGCCCGGCTGGGGTAACACAATACCGCACCAGGCGGAAATATTTGATGACCCTTTCTGGGAGCTTGTACAGTTAACCTGATGCATGATGCGGGTGCTTTCATGCTTACTCTGCTGGAGGTGCCGCCCTCATTCCAAGCATTATCCTTGGTTTGCAAAAGTCTTGTCCTGCGCTTGAAGCAATTTATGCGGCCACACGATGATGAGTATCCAGCTGCTGGGGGATATATAATGGTTTTCGTGGTCTTGTGGGGGACTATCTTTCATGCACAAGATTGCTGGGGCTGCGGCAACCCGAGGTTCTGAGATCGAATGAATGTAACTATTGTTAGGAGCGCTGTGTAATCATTTATTAAGAACATGGGCATGATTGGTGCATCACTTCCATCTTGCTACGTACCAGGCCAGCCCGCAACTGGGCAGGTCATCACGGAACTTGGAAGCGGCAGCAACGGGCTTCGAGTGGTGGCTCATAGTATAACTTAGCATGTCATTCACAACTTGCCCACTCGAAGTAACGAGGGCCGGAATCACCCGGTCACGGGACACTGGACCCGGAAGGGCCCGTCTCGAGCGGTCTGTCTGCTCAACCATCAACCAGCGCTGTAGTTACCAGTTCTTCAAAGATAGCTCCGAAGCAGAGGATCACCCCGCTCTCCGCACCACTACTGTATTTGTAAAGCAGTCCTACATGGGCTGACCCTAACTTGTCGACAAAGGGTGAATTTACTGAATTGAAGCCGACTGGAACAACACCACCTCACAAGCCACGAGTAAATTGCAAATGGGACAATCTCTGCATTTGCACGTTACTATTCAACGAATGACTCATTTATCTAACCAAGTCGACCACTACTAAGAATAACTATTACGGTCGATGACAATGAACAGCACGGAGTGTTCCAGATCTCCTTCCTAACAATCAGCCGTACCCGTACCGAGGTCAGACCCCCCGCGTACCCCAGAATCGATCGGCAATAGGACGCGTCTTGTGAAGTCATCGGGGAATGTCTAGAGCGACGTCCAAATACTCCACTGCCTCCGAGCGCCTTTTGATGAGGCCTACAGTTGGTAAATCCTGCAGTGACGGAGGTTTCCGCGACCCCACACGGGTCAGAATAGCTCTCCGCCGGCGACTGCGGTGAATAGTGAATAGCAAACAGTATAATAGTGGCCGACCATTCAGAGCCTGCAACCGCATAGAGTATATATTCCGTACACCCCTCTGACCAGGGACTGTGCCAAATCAGCTTCAGAGCGAATCCTAACTGTTCTTTCTGTTTTCTCGCACTCAATCTCGAACACGACCGACATGGCATCCACTGAAGGCGAGCTTCCCAAAGTGTACATACCTGCAAAGCAGGCCCAGGAGTATGCCGAATCTCTCCTCGTCGAGAACCAAGTCCCTGCGGACAACGCCGCGACAATTGCGCGATGTCTGGTTGAGGCCGACCTCCGCGGCGTCGACACGCACGGCCTCAACCGACTGCCCTCATACATGGAGCGCCTGCGGCGAGGCGTGATGGATGCGAAAGCCACCCCTTCTCTGGACATCAAAACCCCTGTTGTGGCGCTGGTCGACGGCAACAATGGCTTTGGGTTTCTCGCCGCCACGGCGGGGATGGACTTCGCCATCTCCGCCGCCAAAACATATGGCATCGGCATGGCCTCGGTCAAGCGATCGAACCACTTCGGCATGGGGGCCTGCTACGCCCTACAGGCTGCCCGGGAGGGAATGATGAGCCTGGTATTTACCAACTCGTCCCCAGCGATGGCGCCCTGGGGCTCCAAGGAAAAGATCGTCGGGGTATCCCCGCTCGCCTGCGGCGCACCGGGGGGTGTCGAGAAACCGTTTATCTTGGATATGGCGCCGTCGACAGCTGCGCGCGGGAAGCTCTACAAGGCAGTTCGACGGTCCGAGAAGGTCCCCTTGGACTGGGCTCTGGACGCGGATGGGTTTCCGACTGATGACCCGGCTGCAGCTCTCAAGGGAGTCATGCTCCCGATGGGCGGTCCCAAGGGGTCCGCCTTGGCCATCATGATGGATGTCTTCTCTGGTGTTCTCTCAGGATCGGAATTCGCTGGCGGCGTGACTGGGCCCTATGACCCGTCTAAGGCGTCCGATGTGGGACATCTTATGATTGCTATCAAGCCTGACGTCTTCCTGAGTATTGATGAGTTCAAGGGCCGTATGGACCTCTTGTTCCAGAAAATCACCCAATCCGAGAAAGCGCCGGGCGTAGAGCGAGTCTACTTCCCAGGAGAGATTGAGCAGCTAAACCAAGAGTCTAGGCTGAAGACCGGTATCCCATATGTGGAAGAGGAGATTAAAGCTTTGAATGAAGAAGCCCGACGGGCTGGATCGAAGGTATTGCTGGCTGGATCTGTATCTCTACACGGGTAGGAGCACATGCAGGCGCTTTGCTATAGTCTTGGTGAATACTTGCAAATTCCTATAATGGCAGGCCGCAACGTACTCCACTATCTTTTAAAGCAATAAGATGTAGGATTGTAACCAACAGCAGCCACTAGGCCTCGCCAAGGCCCGTGGGTTTATGGGTTGGGTCCAAACCCAATGTGTTTCTTAGCGGGCTTTAGCTCGATATGCTTAACCTGTAGACTAGATCTCGATTCGATGGTGATACAATCCAGAACACCCTCTCTAGCTGCCAAGCTCGAACATGACTCTACTTAAAATATAGATTATAGCTTTTGTCTCATAAAATAGTATATTGTTTTAATGTTTATAACAGCTAAATTCTGTCTATTCTTATAAACATTTTATATGTTCATAATGCTGGTATTTCAGCAGGAAGAAATTCAGCCCTATCTGTCTACAAAACGATTTGTTTTATGTATTGAGAATATGATCTTAAGACGACTGTCTTTTATTGTATCACATTTTATTTATTTCAGGAAATTATAGCAGAACTTTGTTTTGGATTTCTTCAGAGCCGGAAAGATATCTTAAGACAGATATTTATAAGATAGATCATTTTCTTAGTGTACTATAGTTTGTTTGGATAAATCTCACGAAAGTAAAGGGCTTCAATCTATGGGATTTGATCTTACTGAACAACAGATTTTCACACCGCAGAGCGTTGTTGGGGCGCGGTGCAGGAGATCCGAAATACTCTCCTCTGGCATGCATACAACCGCTATCGATAGTACGTCATTCTTCCTTCTTTCTTACTCTGCTGGTGCCCGAGTTTCCTTATCGAATCCTCGCACAGTTCGATGTTGTCACCGTTCTCTGGCCGGACCAGCATCTATGTGCCTCTCCCGCCAGATGTAGCAGTTCAGCACTACTATCAAGGACTCCACGAAGACGGAGTCACCGCGCTAGAAGATCGGCCGCCGGCCGCCGGCACTGGCCAGGACACTATCCGGTTCTCCGCTAGTAGCAGCTGGTTGAGAGTGCGGACGCGGGTGCGGAGTGGTACGGGGACTTTGCCCACCAGGCCGCCCAGCAGTGCGAGCGCTTGGGGTACATCATCGACTAGTTTCAGACGCTCGCGGTCAGTGCCGACTGTGTCTTGATTGACCTCGAGCTGATGAATCCGTGTTTACTGCGCACCGGAACTATGATCGGTACTCCGCGGAGAGAGCAGGCGCTGCTCGGGATGGAGCGCAGCTTCCTTTCCACTGTTTCTGAACGTCTCTTGGTGGAAAGCGTGATGTATCAAATTCTGCCTATTTCAAAGTCCGGGGCATGCTGATCCTCCGCTGTGGGATACTGTGAAGATGGCACGCGATATAAATAAAGTTTTCATGGGGCTAGGGTCGTAGAAGGGCTGATGGCTTTTTTATGTCTTCACGAGGCGCCTTCGTTGCTGAGTTGCACGCCTTCACGGTCCTGAAGTATCTGGCTAACTTGATGAAATTGTGATAGACCGCGCCGACAAACTTGCTGTTGCAGCAAATTAAGACTAGATCTTGGTAGTACCTGAGACAGATGATTCGGGCTCCGCTGTCTTCACCCGAATCACCACCTCTCCCAATTTGTCAGTCTGAACAAAACCCGACTCGTCGATCGACCCTGTCGGCCTAAAACCTGCTGCTCAAACCATATAAACAAATAAAGCAGAGTTATCATCTAAATTCCAGTTGCCTTTTGTTGAAGGGACAAGAAGGATAAAAACATACAACAGAAGGGATTCGCTGGTGGTCACCCACCCAACTACTAACCTCCCGGCGTGTGGCTTAAGTACGGCTGAGCGGACGGGAAGCCCTGTTTTCCACACCCTGTGGTCGTATGTGCTGAATGTTGAGTACAAAACTTTCATATCCCACAGGAACCATCTTCGGAACAGCTCAGCAGATGGTGTTAATTAGATTTTACATAAAATATATATATATATATTTTTTTTATTTAAGCTGTAGGGATAAATAGAGGCAAACAAGCCTTATAAAACTCTTACGGCTAGTAGTTTAGGGGTCGAAATACGCGAATAAATCTTAGCAAACAGACAGGGTTTTCTCACCAGCGAATCATCCTATAGATTGTATTCTGTGTGGACATAACAGTGAGGATACTTCACTTCATTTTGTATTCCTCGCCCGCTGTTTTGCTTACCATCGTTCTAAGCACGCAACAACAAGGGAGCGGTATACTTAGGCTATGCAGTTATAGGACTAAGATGAATCTCGGGAATGAGATTCTCACCGTGAGAGACAAAATACAGGTCAATAATAAAATCAGTACATTATCTCAGAGCGCATATGATAGAATCTTTGTTGACGTAGTCAATCAGACTCAGAAAGCACGGCGTGTTTCAACAGTCTGGAACAATCACTTTTCTACCCTTGACTGCTATATCCCAGTCACAAGCGAAGTGCAGAGAGATGACACAGTCACGAACAGAGAAAAAACGGGAAATCAATGCTGCCCTTTCCAGAACTGGCTCTTCCAATGCCTCGTCTGCTTGAGCGTATTTCAATTCCAGTGGCGGAGAACAAACCGTATAGCTTGCAGAGTGCCTCAGATCTCAATGAGCAAATACAATGGGACGGCCCTCTTGCTGCCCCTGCCGCCGCCCATAGCTCACACCGTCGACCCTCAGGCCTTTTTCATTGAGTAGAGTGATGGTGTCACCGCTGTTGGAAAGAGGGCAGTTGGGTACCTCGAACTTCCGCATGGCTCGAGGAGCCAAGACCGCGTTTCGCGGCAGGTCTTGGGTCTGGCCAGCCGAGTTGTGGAAGCTCCATGATTCCAAGGATACTTTGTGACTGGTGAGATTCCCCAGCGTGATGGACTCTTTGGTCCGTGCCGCTCGATCGTCTGCGCCCCGTGGGTTGACCAGTGCTTCCGTGATCGTTACCGAATTTTCCACGCGATCGACGGGTAGCACGTCTGTCCATGTCACTAATGGTTCCAATGCGTGGCCATCATTATCATCGGTGTGGACAGCTTGTGAGGCGAATGCAAGGAAAACACCTGTCCAGTGATCGTCGTACTGAATGAGCAGTCCCCCGTCCTGGAACACCCCATCATCCTTCCTGAAGTTCGAGATATTTCCCTGGTTCATATGAACATTGTGAATTCCATCTCGTGAATCGAACATCGAGCCGAATAAATAGATGGTTGCTCGCTGGTCAATGGCTTTGCTGACTTCAGGTTCCAGGACGTCAATAATATCATTGTCGTCTCCAGGGATATCGTGGGGAAGAACACGACCATCGGTAGAGTGGAAAAGCATCCCACGAATGTAATCCAGGCCTTTGCCGTCTAGTTCGTCTACCTCTTCCATCGAATGGAAGCCAAAATCGAGGTTGGCCAACTTCTCAGCAATAAGGTGCTCGGCGAGATTGTGGTTTACAAAATAGGCAAGTCTGGACTCCTTGTCTTTTGATTTGATGTTGATGGCTGCGCGGAAGAGTCCAGGAATCTCCCATGATTTCTTCTTGTCGCGGGGTCTGCCCTTGTGCCTGCGTCGATAGGCACGGTCGAACTTTGGAGTGGTTGTTTTGTTATCATGATAGTACAAGGAGAGATGAGGAGACTTGGGGTCCTCGTAGTGATCTTCAAACTCATAATGGACCGGAAGGGCTTTCCAAACCCCGTAATCCCTGACCGGCATTGTCTTTACCAAAGATGTATGAAGATAAAAGTAGATTGGGATTTTTGTGTCAGTGGCATGCAATGTGACGAAGGTAAGGTTCCATGTCAGAGTTCAACAGCCTTTTTATATCTCCTCAAATCATCACGCACAGCATGTTGGTTGACAATACTAATTCACCATTTTCTGGGTTTCTGTTATCATCGCTGATACATGCCTTCGATACGAACTCGCTATCGGCTGACTGTCGTATTGTCCCAAGGAAAGCGCGAACAAAGAAAAGGCTGGTCTTCGAGTGTTGAGATCTCCCAAGCAACCTTCACTACAGCAGGTTCGTATATCAATGACGGAGAAGCAAAGATCTCTTTGTCGTCTCTTTATCTACAACTACTATGACACCCAGTCGATCTGTACATCTTATGTGACGGATGCTGTCCACGGTACGACCTTGGGGCCAGATCGTAGCGAACGTTCGGGCCGTACTCGTATTGCGTCGATCCACTAACCTTCACACACCCCATAAAACCTAATTCACTACCCGTTGTCAATGCCGCCCCCACATCCGTATTGGTCATTTCCGCATGCAGCACTTTAATCACACTTCTAATATGTGCGGCTCCCTAGGATAGCAATATGGATCCTCTAGAGCCCTTCGCTTGCTTCTTACTTCGGCTTTCCATGTCGTGTCGAGAAGGGTTGGAGTTGCAGCTTCTCGCACGCACCACCCGCTGGTTACGGGCCATCTTTGACCTCCTCGCAGCCCTCCCTATCCCAGCCGGAATCTCGTATTGGCAATGATGTGATTCTGGCTTCCTCTTGCGATGTGTAATTTGATGCTGGCGTGGGTCGTGTCCAACAACAAATTGTGTACCACTCCTGGGATTAAGTTCGACATCTTCTAGAACAACGCTGGATTCCATCCTGGTCCACTAGATGAAGAGAGAAAAAGATGCTATCAGCTTGTCTATCCCCACTTCCTCCACGCAACCCTAAAAAAGAAGAAAAGAAGAAAAAAAAAAAAAAACAAAACAAAGGCCCACCTAGAAATACTTCACAGATGTATATATCGTCACTTTGCATGTCTGCTATTATTGGCCGGGTGAAAAACAGGTTCACATGTTGCATATGGAACTTCATTCCATACACTCAGCTTCCATATTGCAAAGGAGGATTGAGCGGAATTTGAACCCGTATTTTCAGAACCCCCTCACCCGGACAAGACCGACCAACGGCTTACTCGGCAAGATAGATACGATGGAACTCCGCACCTTGTTTCTGGGATTGACCTGGCTTCGCGCGGTGCTACGGCGGCCGATCACAACCTCACCCCGCGATCCTTGACCTTGAGGTGATCTACCGGTCCGATCCATCTTTTTCAATTCGCACAAACCAGGGTTAGTCTCATCGCACGAAACCGGTTGCCCAAGTTCTCCTCAGTCACTTCAATCGCTGTCATACCACAGCCTAGCATGGGCCCGGAACGCCTGTAAGAGGAGACCAGGGAAAGAGCGACTCAGTCAGCAGTACGCCTCAGAAAACACGAGACCACAAGAAGACCCATTCCAGACGGTGATTTTGGCCCCATCATGCGTGCAACCGATGCCACGAATGCAGCAGCAGAATTTCCCATGGATAGAACCTGTGGGAGTGCCTATGCACCTGATAGCGTCATGCACCGCAAAGTCATACACGAAGTCTTGCAATTCAGCTGCTTCCTATCTAGTTAGTCTAGTAATCCCGAGGATCTCTTGTACTGTAAATCATTACAACATAATAAATAGGCGTACAAATCTGGTGAGATTGGGGAAACTCACATCACCACGTCACCACATTTGATACGATGATTGATGGGCCACAGAAACTCGAGATCCCCAGTCTGATCCAGCGAGTTGGACTGTTGTATACGCTCATTGACATGCTCTGTTGGCTCCATGTCTGGATGCCCAAGATCCCCTCGGGCCGCACCGACCCCTACCACGGCATCTATATCGACCACCGCATCGTCGAGGCCGGCGACCAGCGCTTCGCCCTGACTGACATGAGAGACATCGGCCAGTACGTGGCGCAAATCATCGCCGACCCGTGCACCGTGAACCGCCATATCTTCGCCTACACCGAGGCCTTGAGCATGAATGAGATCTGGGAAACCATGGCGCGTGCCAGTGGGAAGACGCCTGAAAGGAAATATGTACGTGGAGGAGGCCAGGAGTCCCGCCCAAACGGCCCATGGGCCGTGATACGAGAAGGCGATGTCGTCGAATACTGGCAGCGTTGAGGGGATACCCTCAAAAATCGCGAGTGGCGGGAGATTGCTGCCGCTATTGTTGTCACTGCCACAAGGGGTAAGAAGAAGAGCAGAAGGAACCACATTCTCCTCCCCCGGCAGGCCCTGGCTCGAACGAATGGAAGGATCCTCATGTTGGCGGCGGATGACAGTGATGACGCCAAAGTACGGGACGGTGATCCTGCGCGGATGGCCCTCGTCGCACGTCCCAGCGCCAACGACTAGGTCCCGCAGGGCTTGATGACATTGGCAACACAGCGAATGGGCCTTGTCCTTGGCGCAGACCTACAGGACGGCGATGGTGCGGTGGATCAGCGTCCAATCGACGGCCTCGGTGGGGGATTCGAGGTTCTCGGGCATCGGCGGCGGGGACCTCGGTGCGATGGGGGGCCGTTGAGTGGAGGGAAGGTTCAGATACAGAACCACGCCGGCGGCCAGCGCGGTAAAGTCGGCGAGTTTCATGTTGTTGTCCACTTGCGCGGTTCGGGGATCGAGGTCATATAGCGCTAGAAATGTCTGCAGGAACGCGCGCGCGCGCTGCTGACACACGTTGTCCGCCCTGAGGCGGCACAGTGGCCTGGGTCCGCCGTTGTCGTAGTGTTAGTTGTCTTCTCCAGGCTCTGCAGAAAATACGGCAAGTACAAGAACGCTTTGAGCGGATGAATATGGGACAATTAATACAGCCGCGCGCTCTTGTCCGATCCGTCCGGGCTGGCGGCAATCTACAGGAAATCCAATTAGCCCAGGGGCAACTTGCCGGTGACGGCATCAATCTGCTCTTCCACGGCGATTAGCTGAGACAGTGACACGGGCGGTTGTGCCTGCAGGCTGTCAATCACGCGCCCCGTAAGTACAGTCAAGTGGCGCCAATGGTACCGGATGCGGGACGACTCCGTGGGGGCGGGGATGTGGAGATCGCACAGATGGTCGGGGATCGAGTACGGGAGCCCGATCATCAGACTGATCCAGCGGTCGGCACCGAAGATTTGCCAGAAGACGGGGTCGTAGGCCTCGGTTTTGCGATTGGTTTTGTGAAGCCCGGCCAGCTGCAGGCGGGTGTTGGCCGTCCGGAAGACGGACCAGGCCCGGCATGGTTGCAGGGCACTGAGCAGACACAGCCCGAGGCGATCATGCATTGGTAATCAAAAACATGGCCAGTGAAGCTGCTCTCGGACAGGATCCAGGATTCGACGGGTTTTAGATAGCGGTCGTGATCGCCCGTGCTCAGTGCCAAGCAGACCAGCAGACTCCCAAGCAGCGAGGGATTGCGCGAGCGCACGGCGCGGGTGGCAAAGCTCTCCAGGGTTTTGTCTTCGGTGTCGCCCCATCCTAACCCGAAGGAGGCGCGCCAGGTCGCCCACCAATCGCTCCGCATTTGAAAAATGGTGGCGATCTCGGCGGCTGTGGGTAGCACAGCTACCATTGTGCATACATTGCTTCGGATGAGTTCGCGGACTCGCGCATCAGAGTGGCAGTCGATCGCGCGGGGGGGCTGCGTGTGGGGTGCCGCATCGGCCTGCCCAGCAATCTAGGTGTGGGATCAGAATCTGCCTGCCTTGGATTGAGATACGAGTCCAGCTTCCCCGGGGGTTTAACCCACCCTGTGGTCCTTGAACAGCTTCATAACGGGGGCATCATTGCTCTGAACCAAGTCGTGACCCGCCGTGGCTCCTGCATGATCAGTCCCCACGACGGCTCGCGGCGACGCGAGCCACTGATGAAGGAGTACAATGCCTTGAAAAAGGACAGCGGCGGTAACGCAGTAGAACCGCCATAGTCAACCTCCGCATGTGGGGTGGTGGTGGAGGGCCGGAAGAGGCGGGGACGACCGGCTCTCCCCCTGGGGTCGACAGGCGATGTTACGTCTCGCACACTGATCACATGCGTTCGACTGCGACGACTGTTTCAAGGTCCAAGTGTAGCGGACTTTCCGATGGCGGCCTAAATGGAGATCCTCCCTTCCCTGTGTGCGGCTTAAACTCACAAGCCAGGCAATTGCGCATGCCTTTGCGTATTGGTTTGAGCGGCATCCTTTTCACCTTCGCCTGTGCGAAATGCGCCAACCAGACAGCTCAAAGCGACCTTTTCAGGTGACTCACCTGGGCAAATAGTCCCCTTTAGCCCTTTGGGGGCCTTTGGTGGTCAGACAGGTTGGGAGGAAAGAAGGACGAGAGGAGGAAGAGAAGGACGAGAGGAGGAAGAGAAGGACGACCGAAATCTGTCTGGTTAAGTTTACTCGTCGCTATCGTCAACCTACCCTTTATCAGGGGTTGGTTGTCTCTACCTTACGAATAATCCTACCTCAAGAATAACGAAAAATACATACGAATCCTACTTTTTAAATCACGTATAACTTTGTTAATATAAAGGAATAGGCTTTACTATTTCAAAAAATATAGAATTAATAATATATAAAAGATTAATCTTTGAAAAAAAGACACTTTCTAACTATATCTATAATAATTAGAAAACTTAAATTGCCTGAGATTTCAGGCATCTTTTTAACTATTTCTTTTAATATACAATATTTTGAACAAAAGAAAAAACAGATATATAGTTCCAGATATAAAAGCTGTGATATTTTAATCTTAAAGTCTAATATTCTAAGTTAATAAAGTTCTATGTGATTAAAAAAGTAGAATTAGTATATGTTTTTTATTATTTTTGAGGTGGGATTATTCGTGAGGTGAAGGCAACCAACCCCTGATAAAGGGTAGGTTAATAATAGCGACGAGTAGTTGGTTGATGTTATTGCTTAGTCATTCGTAGCTCCTCCGGCCTCAGGCCGGAATGAGGCCAGCACTCCAGCTATTCGGTAGCTATGTGTATATGATCGCGCTCCAGGCTACAGATCTCAAATCCTGAATTGGTTAAGCGCCATCCCCTTCTACTTGGTAGATACTTCCTCTTGTGCAGGTCGCGCTTGTACTTCAACTGGAGTACAGTATGTCTACATGTCACAGCTGCTGACCAACATACCCACAGCACAGCAGAATGATTGTTGTACTGTACTGTAACTCACCATACTGGACTATAAGTTACGCACCATAGATAGTCAAGCAGCTGAGTTCCTTATCGGTCGCACCATATGCGATTTTACCTCGGCTCAACCTCCACTACCCCAGAATCCGACCACAATTTAATTGACCCCCTCATTCCTTCCTCCATCTCCAACTTCAGCTTCCTGCCATCGATTCTCCATCCACCATCACCCACCATAGATTCGAACCACCATGTTGTCGCAACCCTACACCTGCAAACACTTCAACATCACCTTCCCGCCGGACCGCGAATATGTCGCCCACGTGGAGATCAACCGTCCTTCCAAGCTGAATGCCTTCATCGAAGCGTGCGCGCCTCTCCTTCCCCCTTCCCCCTTCCCCGCGATTCTCCCATCCCTACAATCCACAATCCACAATCCCCAGTCTTGACACCCAAAACAAACAGAATGTGGCTCGAACTTTCGGACATCTTCACGCGCCTCTCCACCGACCCAGCAGTCCGCGCCATCGTCCTCACCGGCGCAGGCCCCAAAGCCTTCACCGCCGGCCTCGACGTCCACGCCGCCTCGGAAGGCACCCTCTCGCCCGAATCAGCCCAGATCGACCCCGCCCGCAAAGCGACCCACCTCCGCCGCCACATCCACGAATTCCAGCACTGCATCTCGACTCTCGAGAAATGCGAGAAACCCGTCATCGTGGCGATGCACGGCTTCTCGCTGGGGCTGGCCATCGACCTCAGCGTCGCGGCGGACGTGCGCGTCTGCACGGAGGACGTGCGCTTCGCCGTCAAGGAGGTGGATATCGGGTTGGCCGCGGATATCGGGACGTTAAGTCGATTGCCGAAAGTGGTGGGGTCGTTTGGGTGGGTGAAGGAGGTGAGCTTGACGGCGCGGGAGTTTGGGGCGGATGAGGCGCTGCGCGTGGGGTTTGTGACGCATGTCTACAAGGGTAAAGAGGCGGCGGTGGAGGGCGCGTTGGGGTTGGCGAGTCGTATGGCGGGGAAGAGTCCTGTTGCTGTGCAGGGGACGAAGGAGTTGCTGAATTGGTCGCGGGATCGGAGGGTTGAGGATGGTATGTGCTTTTCCTTGTTGCTTTGTTTTCGTGGGGATCGGGGAGTGATCATGATGCTAACGCGTTGATAGGGCTGCGGTATACGGCGGTTTGGAATAGTGCGGCGCTGCAGACGAAGGATGTTGAGGCGGCGCTGTTGTCGGGGATTCAGAAGCGGAAGCCGACATTTGAGAAGTTGTAGCTCGTTGTTCCTTTTAAATGAGGTGCTCTCGAGGTGTATATTAGACTCTGGTACTGCTGGCTTAGTACATCTTAGAACCTGACCGTATGAGTGGCTTTCGCGGACAGAAGGTATTGCCAACGACTCAAATTTCTGGTGAGAAAGTTCTCTATATGGTCTGGGGCTCATCATTAGGATGAAATTAATGGTTGGAAGCTTTTTCTGATGTTCAACAGTTGGTCTGGTCTATCGTGATACGTTCTAATTGCTGACGCAGATATGTAGCGATCGTGTATCAGACGTCGAGGTGCTAGTCATGATAGCCATCATGGCTATATGATGTAACAAGTCTCAGATGGTCACAGCTTGTCGTACACTACGGAGTTGAAGACCGCTGATGCACGACAATTTTTGCTGTTCCCGACGTCCAGAGATTTGAATACAACTATCCTGATACAAGAGAAAAATGCCTGTGCGTGGATTGGGGTGGATTGAGGCACAGAAAATCCAAGTAATGAACCTATCCATGACCTCTACCTCAAGACCTGAATCAGCAAGATCACCCTCCCAACCAAAATCACTATCCAGACAAGTTGAGCCCTAACAAAGAGTTGAGCACCATATCTCAAACTTCGTTGCTACTCCTATACACAAACTGACTCACCAGAGTGGGCATACACGGAGGAATGTGACTAGTCCATCTCCACAAGGACCGTCCCCAGCTCCAGCAGTGCCTGACAGGTCTCACATGGCAGTCTAGATCCTTCGAGGTGGAGACTAGAATACTGTTTTGAAGAGACCCGGGCAGGAGGAGGCTGAAACGCTTGGTCCCACCCAGCCCAGCCGCCAGACTGTCGTGGCGGCAACAAGGTTTCAGAGTCAAAACAATTTGTATTTTGCGGGTACGGAAAGTCTACAGAAGAGATGTGTCTCGAGTCATACAGCTACGCGCGAGTGAGGGAATGTGTCACGGAACTTGTGGCAGGTAGAGTAGCGGCAAGTTGGCGTTCCTGCTGCTTGCCTTAAGTCCTGAGTAGTCCCGAGCTGGCGGAGGACAGCCTCTATTTGTGCAGAGCTGTGGGGTCCCAAGAGCTTGGCATAGTTAGAATCATTCCAGGACGGAGAATGTGTGCACTTGGCTTCGTGACTCTGCAAGAGTTGGGATTGAATCCTGTGGGCACGTCATTTCTGGCATCATCGGCGCGGTCATTGCTCGTTCGCCAAGGACTGCACCACCGAGAAATGACCGAACAGGACGGACTTGTCAACTGCTGAAGATGTTCGTGCTATTTTATCTCCGAGACTAAGCTTCAGCAGCACTGGGATCAAGTACCAAGCATGAAGATACACCACGACACACTCATGCCCGCACAGCAACATATCCTCCACCCCAGACTAGGATACCAGTCAAAAAAAATCCAAGCAATACACCCTAACTTACCTGCCGTATGTAAGCAAGCGAACAATCGGATTTCGGATTTAACCACCGCGCTTGACGCCCAGCACCACCCAAGTAAGATCCACAATCTGTACCCCGCTCTTTCACTCCGTCACGCCCCCCCCAAACTACCAAACTAACAAACTAACGCATCTCATTTCCCGCCCCGCTAATCCCAGATCGAAACGGAACTACACCCTTTGACATCGACCCTGTCACCCTGCCAATATCCACTCGACATCCCATCCTGCAGAACTCCAGCTCATTCCATCACGTCATACCCACCCTCACAGGTGGGAAAAATCCCCCAGAATACACTCTGCGCTCCGCACGGTCCCCCCTTCCCCTTGCTCGCCCGCTTCCGTAGACCCGAAGATATAGCACTTTGTACCCTTGAACCCTGTCGATCGGCGGGCTTGTTTGCGCTTCTGTCTCCGTTCGATGACTCTATTCGTAGGTGGAAGGATGCTAGAGTCCACAAGGGGGGTAAGTATCCGAGCATCGGGATCAAACACCCCGAACCTCCATGTCGAAAGGGAGCGGTTTGGGAGTATTCCCCCGAGCTGCAAGCTGCGTGCCGAATGCCAAGGTTGGAGTGCATCTACCCCATACTGAACCTGAGACTGGGGGTGTTTGACACGCTGATTCTGGTCCGATGGCCGAGGTCGGTGGGAGAAAGAGGAAGAGAGGGAAATTGTCCGTGTGGGATGGGTTGAATGGGATTTTCCACGTATTGGTCTGGAGGTCGGGGG